TTAGTCTTCTCATTAGCCTTTTGATTACCTTCCCATTGCTCTTCTCATCATCCAGCTAACTGGTGTCCATTTTTCTCTGTATGAATTAGCTAGAATTAGTTTCTATTGCTTGCAGACATTGGGGTCTGGCTGATCACTTACTATCTCTGTGTCTGAATCAGGATGCAATATTAACCACATTGTTGTGTGTGACCAGGGGTGATTTTGTTCTCAGTAGGAATTGAGCTGGCTCTCTTCATTTCTCCTACCGTTTCACTTACTTGATCTTTTGTAAAAAAGAAAAAAAAACCACAAAGAACATAAGACTTGACAGAAAACTTTTACTTGATAGCAAAAATTATCTATGATTACTGGACATACCTAATCCTAATATTCACTTTAACTCAGTATCCAAATGAAAAGAAGCAACTACCCTCATGCTTGAGGCTCAAGAGAAAGATGAATATCTTAAGGGGACTCTAGAGATGACTCATAAGAATAAAAGTCTTAGTCATTGAGGTATTTAATACAACCTGCTTTTACTACTGAATTTTAAAATTTTGGTTTCCATGATGATAACTATTTTAAAGAAATGGCAAACTGTAATACATGTGTTACAAGAGGATTCTTAAATAAGCCTAGACTGACCTGGGAGCTGTAGTAGGGAGATTATGCCAAGCCTATGGAAAGCACTCAGTAACTGTTTTAGATGCTGGGAGTAGTTGGTCCAGGAGCTATGGCAGCAGCATGCCAATATGGGCGACTGAATAGTGCTTTTGGAAACTGCCACACATCGTGCTCTTTCCATTCTAGTTGAAGACATTTAATGACAAAGAGAAAAGAATAAGGAGGGGTAGGAGGAAAAGAAGAAGGAAAAGAAGAGGAAGAAACTAACATGTATTGTAGATATTAAGAAGCTAATATGTGTTAGGTACATTCTAGGTGATTACATTGCTATCTCCCTTATCCTCACTGGCCTGTGAGTTAGATATTATTATGCTCATTTTATAGTTAAAGAAGCTGGGGCTAGAAGCAATTAGCTTCCCTAAGATCACAAAACTTGTGAGTGAAAGACAGTTTTTGCAGTGAAATCTGTCCACGCTTTATACTCCTGCTACTGCTTTAGCTGCTGCTCAGTTGGTACTGTCACTATTGGTATTACTACTGTCGTTAGAGAGTGGGCTAGGGGTTGGTTAGAAAGCTTCACCTTCACCAAAAGGGATTTGTTTTCCTTCATTTTTGTGCTAGAATTTGGTATATTCTGTCTAGTTGATTTCTTGAGTATTCTTCTCTTTCCTCACTCTCTCATCAAGTCAGAAATTAATCTTTTTTAAATACCCTCTATTTATTTAAAATTAATTGATTACATCCAATTTCTGCAAGATAATTTTTGCTACCAAACTATGATCAGACCCAGTTGCAGTCCACTGATGCACTGGCTGTCCTTCTTCATTTTCCTGAACTCAACACAGGACAAAACTGAGCTTTAAGGACAGCATACGAGTCATGAGGAGGAGATGGCAAATAATCATATCCCTTCATTACACCTGTCCCCTGAAAAAATGGTCAAATATAGACCCTGAGTTAAACAACCTTCCCTTTCTCTGCAGTATAACACAATGGTTGAGAGAAATGGATCAATTTACTTAGTTCAAATCTATTTGATTTTAGGCAAGTTTTTTAGCCTGTTGCACCTCAGTTTTCTCATTCGCAAAGTACGATGCAAAGGATTAAAAAGGTCAATACATTTTAAAAACTGGCATTGTAGTTGGCAAATAGTCCCCCTTAATAAGTGGTAGCTATTATTTAAATTGTGACTGTTAAGATCTATCATTCTTCTTCCTCTGGGGAAGCCATAGTCGACCTCTAGCAGAGGGTAAGAGCAACTGGCCTCCTCGTTTTCTACCTCTTCTGAGTCACTCTGTTGGACTGAGAGTGATATTGAATTTTTTATTTGAGGCTACATGTTTCCTAGGCATCAAAAGATGATAAACAGAATTAAAATGTGAATGCATGGACTAGAGTAAAACGAGAAATAAAGTTTGAACTAATCTAATAGAACACGTATTTGAGAGAAAGAAATAAAAATAAGATCTACATCTGTATGCTTGAAACTTTAAATGAATCTTTAAAAATGGTTCCAAACTTTTATCCACTCTCCACATCAGAAGATCCTGAAAGATAAAAGGACACACCAGCAATTTACAAGTATGCCTGGACTGGAGGGCCTTGATGATTCTATTAACACAGGCTTTGAAGTAGCTTAATATAAAGCACATACGCTGTCTATAAATACAGCTTATGGTTGGCAAATATTCTAATAAAATTGATTTCGTTCATACCAAGGGAAATGGCCTTGCAATGGATGAAATGACCTTTAAAAATACAGTTAAGGCATTTTAGTATCTCTATCTGCTCTCAAAAAATTTCAAAATATCACTGAAAAGAAGTCTAAGACTTTGTATAACCAGATCTCTTTATCAGATGTGTCAGTAGAACTATGATACGTTTGTGTGTCAAATCAAGTTGCTCAGGCAGAGCAAAATCATTGCCATCACAACATCAACTTTCCAAGATTTTTAAACGTCTACTTTTACTTTTAGGACAAAAAGTCAAATAACAGAAAAATATTAGTTACCACAGATTGGGTAAAATAACAACAATGACTTTTTCCAGGAAAAAAAATATAGCCGTGTCTGGCAACTTTTTGCACCATGATATTAAAAACCTAACAACAACAAAAAAAGGAAATGTGATATCCAAGATTACCTAGGATGTGAGGAAACAGACACTCTCAGAAACTACTGGTGGAAAATAAATAGGTAAAAGTCTTTTCAAAAGAAACTCAGCATCTTCAATGTGTGTACCCTTTGACATAGCAATTGCACCCTGGGGAATTTATTTCTATAGGAGGCATTTGTGTAGTGATTCAGTGTGGAGTTCTCATGTGAGACTTCCTGAATTCAACTCTGCCTTTGCACCATACATGCTAGGGGGAAAATTTCAGGGCCATTGCTGGTAAAAGAAGTTCAAGCTGGATGTCAGCTCCAACTTGCCACCTCAAATAGGGAACCCTTTGCAAGGAACATCCTGCAACGTCTGAGGAGAGTAGGCAAGGAGTATTAACTTTACAGGCTTATTGTGAGGTTCAAATGAGATTATCTGTCTAAAGTGCTTAGCATGGTGCCTGGCACATAGTAAGCACTCAATAAATAATAGCTATTCTTTTCTTACCATACTTTAGAGAAAATCGGTATCTGAAGAAAATTATTTAATATTTATTGCAGCACTGCTTATAAAAGAAAATAATTTGAAATAATCTAAACATCCTTCAGTAGGAGATAGTTTAACCAAATCTACTACAGCTTTGGCATTCCACAGACTTTTGATTTTTCTCCAATATTTTATTGAGGTAAAATACACATTCTACAAAAGTTACTGCTCAACCATTTTTAAGTGGACTGTTCAGTGGTACTGAGAACATTCATATCGTTGTGCAACCACTACCACTATCCATGTCTAGGACTCTTCATCTTGCAAAACTGAAACTATAAACTTAAAAAATGATGATATGAGTCTACAGGTAATAACATAGAAAGATGTCCATGGTATATTAATAGAAGGAAATCTGGAAAGTTGTAGTACAATCTGAATCTATTTTCCAATATGAGAGAGAGAGAGTATTTAAGGGATTATCCTGAATTAATTTTCTGGAAATTGCCTACTCTCCCATTCAATGGTTAGGAGAAGAGCGTCCCAGTTACTACAAGGTGACACAATACAATAATCATTATTGCTATCTCATTATTAAGCTGATTAAATGAGTTAATGCTGGTGTAGCAGTTAGATCACTACTGGGCACTTATTAAATGTCACAGAAATGTTTCTCTTCTTGATACAATGAAAGTTTGGGAAAGATCTTCTCAGTATGTGTCCTCTAAGATAGATGGGAGATTAGTAGCCACTGAGAAACTGTTCTTTTGGATACCTTGCTGCTACTACTACTAAGAGTAAAAATAAAACAATGACAAAAGCAAAGATCAAAGTAACAGCTAATATTTCTTGAACATCCTCTGTGTCATATACTGGGCCAATGCTTAACCAGAGCTATCTTATGTAATCATCTCAAGGCCATGGAATAGACACTACCAGTCTTGTTTCATATGTGAAGAAAGCTTAGGGAAGTTAAGTAACTCACCTAATAAGTGTTAGAACCAAGTTACAGAGTCATAGATATCCTACTTCTAGAGAGGTTTTCTGTACTATCACTAGCATCATAACCCCATAATATACCGTATACAGATGCACACATGCATGTATGTTTATGGCACATGTGTGTGCATATTACTGTAATGTAATGAAGAATTAGATCCAGGTATGTGCCAAGTTCAGAATGCTAAATCATTGACATTTTCTAGAATGTGATCTGAAGATCCAAAAGGGACACACCCTACCTTGCATTGTATTACACTCATTTATTTATGTGTAGTTTCTCCTGGACAGGTATGATTTTTTTCATGTGTGTATACCTCTGGCTTAACAAGTAGTGAGTATATAACAAATTTTACTAAATTTTATAATGCTGAAACAATTTAGAACAGTCTTAAAATAGCAAATCCTGTGGTCTCCCTTCTGTTTACATTTTTGGAGACCTTTGCCATTAGGATTTGACTCTCAAGCTGAACTTCCTGTGTCTGCAACTTCCTCAGAATCCTTCCCCAGTGTATTTTCTGCATTGCTTACCTATAAGGCAACCTGTCTGCCCCATTCAGTTAGAGTGACTGAGTCCTGTCTAGACAATTCTTAAGAAATGTTGACACACTCAACTCACTAATTTGTTTTTCCCAAACTAAGATGTTCAGATTAACCTTTTACCACTGAATATCTATTTTTAACTTTAGAGCCATTCTCCACTTTAAAATACCACTAGCCAAAACAGAACTGCTCCAAAATAACATTATACAGTCATTCCTCCATTCAAACCTCAAATTTTTGTCTTTTAAAGAAGCCCTCCATACCTTCGTATCATCAGCTTGATTTCCAAAGCTTCTCTACAGTGTAAGGACAAACCTTTAGAGACAACGTCTGTTTCTTCACTTTCTCTAGAATGACTGTTTCACAGTCGGCTTCTGAAATGTAATCGAAAGAAATGCTTCTCCTCTGCTGCTTCATTCCCTCTAATGTACAGCAGAAAGATGCAAAGAAAAAAAATCACATACATAGAAGTGTGGTGAGTTACATTTCTGTAAATCTTTGAATTGATATTTCCAATCTAGGAGGAACCTACAACCACTGTGATAACTCTTTATATTCTTTAGCCATCTCTCTGGAGAGATGACTCTAGTTAGCCTATTAGTCCCCTCAGATAGAGTATACAATAAACTTTATTCAGAACTTGCCAATTTTTAAGATAAATATTTAAGCTTGTATTTTATTCAAAAGCAAGCAAGAAAGTGATTTTATCCAACAGTCATAAGGGTAATAGTGTGGTAATCATCATCATCATCATCATCATCATCATCATCATCTATTTATTGAGATCTTGAACATTACATGTATCATCTCAATTAAGTCTTACAACAACCTGATTAAGTAAGTATTTTTGTCCCCATTTTATTGCTAAGGAAACTAAGGTTCAGACAGATTAACTGCCAAAGATCATGCAGCAAACTACTTACCAATACATATTTACCAAGCTTCTTTGATTCTAACACCTACCTTAGGTACTTATTATGGCTCAAGATTTTTTTTAATGATATGGTAACTCTTCAGAAATCAGGATAAAGTGAGTCACAATGCTCAGAGGGAATATGCTATTACATAACATATCAATTGGTATGGAATTTTAAAGGGTAAGAAAAAGACTCAGATCTGAAGAGGAAAGCACTGATACATGTAAAGCCAGTGTTTGCTGCTATCTGGTCTACTTCCAAAATGAAACACTAGCAAGCTTACTGAGGTTTAAAGATCCTGTTTGCCTTCCAACCTCACCTGCTTCCATTTTCCCCTTCACTTTCTTGTCTCTCCCCTCTCTAACACAAATGTCTTAGTCTTTCCCTAACACACCTGTCTCAGGGGTTTTGCACTGTTCTCCTCCCCAGTATTAGACCACCTTCCCATCTCCCCCAGTATTTACACAGTTGACTTTTTTTTGTCTTTCAAGTTTCAGTTTAATTGTCACTTCCTCTGAAATGCTACTACTGGTCACTGTACCTAAGCAAATCCTGTCTGTTTTAGAACCCTGTTTATTTCCCTCATAAGTTGTAATTCACTATATTTTGGGGGTGTGCTTACATGTATATTTTCTGCCTAGAAACTTAGTAGTAAAACTAGTATCTGTTTTGTATATTGTGTATCCAGAGCCTAATTAAAGCCTGCTCACTAGTTGTTGAATGAATATGTTATATTGTAAACATAAGTTTAAAAAGTGGAGTACATAACAACAGATAACTAACATTTATATATAATGTCAGGGTAACCTATAACATCTCAATTTATCATATCTCCACTTGCAGCTTCTCATTTTTCCAACATTTCTTCCCATAAACAAGATCCTCTTACAATAATGACCAAAACTCAGTTATAATCTCACCATGACAGCAAAATCCAGTTGACACTGACATCACACTAAACCAGTAGTCACTGGGTCAAAGTAATCAGGGATGATGAGGAAATCAGGAAGGATGATTCACACACTAGAGAAACTTTTGGTTGCATAAATGCAGAATAAGACCTATTGAGTCCATGTGGATATAAACCAGTTAAAATATTCTACATATTCTAGGAAAGGACCAGTTGAAACAGAGTAGGATCCTGGGGGACCTTCCCAGGGACAGACCCCCCTCCTCGCCTTGTCCCCTGCCTTTGTTTGTAGAAAAGCTCTAGCCTCCTGGGCCTTTTTCAAGTTTCAAAAAGCAAATTGAATCAGAGAAGTAAGAAAATGAAGAAACAAAGAAAAGCAGTCAAACAAGACAAAATAATAATTGCTTCGTCATAGAACAAAGTCAAGGACCTTTGGTCCTTCCTTAAAGGCTATAGATAATATCCTGAGTCGTATTCTTGAATTGTGTTGCAGATACTAACACTCTCACCAGGAGGAAGAAGTTAACTATATGTTGACCACCAGCATGTAGACCCCAGACTGGTTAGAACCAGAAGGTTGATGATTGAGAGTCTTGAAACATCACCCTGTTACCTCCCTATCAGCCAATCAGAGAATTATGCATAAGCTGATCACACAACCTGTGATCCTCTTCCTAACCCTGTCTTTAAAACCATTTCCTGAAAGACATCAGAGAGTTCAAGTCTTTGAGCATGAGCTGTCTGTTCTCCTTCTTGGCCCTGCAATAAATGCTGACTTCCCTTTACCACAACTTGGTGTCAGTAGATTGACTTTGCTGTGCATTGGGCAAGTGAACCCAAGTTTAGTTCAGTAACAACCTAATCTGTTTGATGTGAGGTATCAAAGGAAACTTTTTTTTTTTGTGGCAAGTGCCAAGGCCAAAGGAGGGTGCCCAAGACTTTAAGGAGCAGGATGGGGTTCGTGGGGCTGGAACAAATTGAGACAAAAGAAGAAAAGGTCAGAAAGATGGGGAGGAAGGGTGCTGTAAGTGACAAGGGTCACCTAGGCTGCTGTTAGGACTTTGACTTTTGTTTTAAGTGAAATGACAAATCATTGGAAAGCTTCTTGCAAAGAAGTGACATGCTATGAAAAGAATTGCTTTGGCAGCTGTGTTGAGAATAGATCACAGCATAGAGCAAGGATAGAAGCAAGGAGAGCAGGTAGGTTCTTGTGTAATCCGGATGCAAGATGAGGATAGTTTTGATGGCAACACTGGAGTTGAGAACTGATGAAATTATGGAAGAGTCAAACAAATATGGTGATAGACCACATGTGGTATCTGAAGGTAAGAAGTGGGTCAAGGATTATTTGACACTTATTGATATGAGCAGCTAAAGAAGTAACATTTTGTTAATTTGAATGAGGGAAATTTGAGAGACAAGTAAGAGTGAGCAGTAGTAATATCATTAGTTCAGTGTGGGTCATGTTAAATTTGAGGTGTGTTTTTGACATCCAAGTGGAGGTGTCAAACAGACTGTTGGATATATGAATTTGGAGCTCAGGGATAAAGTTTGTGCTGGAGAAATAAATGTTCCAGATGTAAATGCATTAAAAGTCATTAGAGTGGATGCAATCACTGAGGCAGTGAATGTAGATTGATCAGGAAATGGGTCCATGTCCTAAAACCAGGGAGAGCGTAGCCTTAGGAGGACAGGGAGTTGATGAATAATCACTAAAAGAGATTTGAATGGTGTCTATGAAGGTAGCAGCAAATGTGTTTCTTGGCTATGAGTCATCACTGTGTCATAATTCTGGATAGGTAAACTGAGACATGAGAACTGACTGTTGAATCCAGCAACACGGAGTTTGTCTTCTGCATTAAAAAAAAGTTATTTATCCAGATGACCCATGTGTTAGTATAAAAATAAATCTCCAAAAATACTATGACAAGAGGAATGTAATTATTCATGTAATGTTTCATCATGTCTACTGCTGCCTCAAATTCACCTGGACTGAACTCTGAGCAGAGAGGCTCGTAGATTAACAATGGCATCTGACAGTTTCATACAAATCACCATCTTCAAAATAAACTACTAATATATGTAGAACATTTAATGTTTACAATGGCTTACATTATTGAATGTGTAATCTTCTGCATATGGGAATAGTAAACATTATTATTATTAATGTCATTTTACAGATGTGGAACAAGAGCCTGTAAAGGAGGCAGTTTCACTATGCATGTATTGAAAATGGAATTTAAATCCTGTCGTCTGGCTCCACAAGCCAGTTTTTTTTGTCTTATATCATGCTGCTTTTGTATAAGGATTAGTCTATTGACTCAAAAAAGTAGAATATGTATGTGTGTGTGAATGCAGGCATGTATTAGTTTGTATATATATTTGTGTATCATATGTGTATATTCATATACAGTTGTCATTTTTTCCCCTGCCTTTTATTTTAAGCTGCTCATATTCTCTTAATCATTTTCCACATGGCTATCAGCAAGCAAACATTTAGGAAAGAGACAGAGGTTGCAATCTCTGTTGAAGCAGATAGAGCAAGTGTTTTTGGAACCAGGTGTTAAAACTTCAGCTATCATAATTTCTACCTGCATGAACTTGGTCTAGTCACTTATTTCTGGCCTCAGTTTCTTTATCGGTATATGTAGATTGTCACATTTACCTTAAAAGATTTTAAGCAGTCAAGACACACAATGTTTAAATTTGTCCATTTAACCCTTCAAAGGCTAGTTACCATTAGTATGTGTGTCCATACCACTCCTTAGCATTTATCACACTGCACTGTAACCATGAGCCTCCTAAATTAGCATTTAGAAGACAAGGACTTTGCTATTTTTGCCATTTTCTCCCAAGAATATGATGAAATGATGGCTATACAATGAAAGAATGAAGCCCCTGGTATATGTTAAGTGTAAAATAAGTAATAATAGTATTAATGCCATTATTAAATTATCTAGTGCCACAAAAAGCAAACCCATAATTTTGGTCCCAATGGCCATAACGTTGATGAACAAAACCGCATTGCTAAAACAAGCATTTTACATCCAATCTGGATTTTTACTTATCATATGCCCACATTAACTAATGATTTCCCAAAGTTAATTGAACAATGCTACTAGAAAAACATCACTTTTAAGCTGATCCTACAGGTTGGCAAAACCCAATTAACAGTACCCAACTTCAGCTGAATTTCATCAGCTGGATATGATATTGACTTATCCTTAATATAAAATTTCATGGCTTCCAATCTTCTGGGGCCACCTTTTCTTTTAATGTCTAATGAGTCTATGCATCAGTTGATCTTCAAGTCGAGCTGAGTACATGGTAACTGCTAAACCAATGCTTCTTAAGAGAATTACAGAATAAGTCAGTGAATGAGTACATGTGACAGTGATAATTATTAGCAAAAATGAAGATTGAAAATACAAATATTTTTCTAGGTTATCAAATTCCAGAAGAATGACATTCCTGCTTTTTTTTTCTACAAAGAACACAATCTTTTTTTAAGCTGTGCGTGCATGCTGTGAAATATTTTTCTCTTATT